AGAATCTTGAGGCAAGATATAGTTTTGGCTTTAAAAGGACTTGCTTCTGTTTTTGAAAAGTTGGATTTTCGTGTTGAAGAAGTTGCAGATAAAGTGGAGGTGTTGGAGGAAAAATTTGAAGGCATGGAAAAAAAGATAGAAAATTCACAAGATGAGATTCTTATGTTTCAATATAGAGAGATGGAGTTCGCTTTAAGAATCAGAGGCCTGAGAGAGGATATGCAACAAGACCTGAGAGAGATGGTTGCAAATGACTTTGCTGTGATTTTGGATAGAGAAAAAGAGGAAATATTCAGAGAAATTGAAAAAATATTTAGAGTCAACTCTTGGGTTGCAAAGCAAAGAAATTTGCCAAGGGATGTGGTAATTTACTTTGGGAAAAGATCCCTGCGCAATGAAATTATACAAGCTTTTTACAATAAGAGGTTTCAGATTGCTGCACAAGATGTTATAATTTTAAAGGAGATCCCATCTAAAATTTTAAGAAGAAGAAAGGAGTTTGCTTTTTTAGCAGATGAACTTAAAAAGAGGCAGATGCCGTTTAGATGGGATATTCCGATTGGAATAGTGGTGAGCTATGCAGGGATACATCATAGACTTAATACTGTTTTTAAAGCAAAGGAGTTTTATACTTCGGTCCTGGCACGCTCATCACCACCTATAATGTTTAAAGTTTCGGAAGAGAAGAAGGTAGAACAGCAGTCTGAAGAAGCTGTATTGATGAAAGTTGGAAAATTACAGACTGAGGGGTCTCAACAAGTTGAGATGAAGGAGCAGAGAATGACTCGGGCAGTATACAAACGCAAGGAAAAGGAACAACAGAAAAAGGAGGTTAAAGGAGTATTACAAGAATTTGTTTCTGAGTCTGTGGGAGAAGCAAGACCTAAGAGTTCTTTGGTGCAATCTTCAATGGCAGATCTTCAAGTAGCTTTCTCGAGGTTATTGGATAAGAGAGATGGGTAAAGAATGTAAAGATTGTTCCAAGGTTATTGACAGATTATAGCTCATTGCGGATGGAACTGGTTATTGGAAAAGAGGAGAGAAGATTATGGAGACTGAATGAAAACTTTAGATAAGAAGTGAATGCTTAGAAACTTAAGGAGCATTTAAAGGAATATTTTGTTTTAAATATGTATAAGGGGATTTCAATGGTTTAAGTAACGCTTATATGTGTGTTGATTGTGATGACAAAGAAAGATGGATAAACTTTATATAATATAAGTATGATATTAGAAAATATTGTTTAGCTTTCTGAATAATTTATATTTAAATTTATACTTAAAGTTTATAATATTTTAATGGCGGACTAGATTCCAATTAATTTACTTTATATGAAATATGATATTTTGTAATGTTATTAGGGAGATGATTGGTTTATTAATTGTGAAAGAAACAGAAGGTGTGAATTATAGATAAAATAAATTATAATGGTAAATTGGTAGGATTGTAATGACAAAGAAATTATTTTAATGTTAATTTCTTTCTTCTTTTTCTCTTTCTGTTTTTCATACATAATGGAGTTAAAGTACTTAATAATTCGTTTATTGAATGTAATTATATTTGTTTGAGGTTTATTTGAGTTTAAAAGTTTTTCCTTTTAAGTTCTAGCTAACCCTGTATTCAGCTCTGGGAAGAAGGGGGGAGGGTTTTGGGGAGGGTTGGGAGGGATTGGGAAAGGGTTTTTTTATTGTAAAATCGTAAAAATTTATATATATATATATATAAAGAGCTAATAGAATATTAATTTGCAACAATGCATTTGTGTCCCACAAAGGCCATTCAGGGCTTGAGAGAGCATCTTCTGGAGTTAGTTCTTCTATATAGGAAATTAACATTTTATAGTTGTCCATGCTCAGTTCTTTGTGAAAAGTCAATCCTGTTATGGAAGCCATTTTATTATTATTTCTACCACACTTTCCAAATATCCAGATGTATCTCTAGCCAGAAACGTTTGTCTTCTTTTGATTTAAGGAAATGTTCAACATCCACTTTTTCTTTCCTATATCCTCAGTACAGTAGTCCTCTATGATATCTCAAAAGGATCCTCCAACTGAGAACTTTTTATTCAGTGTGGAGGACTTCTTGAATGAAGAGGTGTTTTACACAAATGTACATGCATATACACATACAAAAGCAATCCCAGAGAGAAGGAGCAAACCCCTTAAAAGATCTTCCAAGGCATTATTTTAAATGCTATGTAACATGAGATGTATGTCCCCAAGGTGCTTTTCCCAAAAAATACTGGACTTCCTTTGTTTTTTCCTTGAAAACACTTTACTTTCAAGAAGAGAAGCAAAACGTTTTCAAGAGAAAAAACCAAGAAAGCCCAGCTCCCTTTTGGAAAAGCACTTTGGGGAAAGCCATGACCTAGATTAGAAGATTTGAGAATCTCCATAGACCCTGAAGACATCTAATGTAAAAGAGGAAAAAATGGAAGCATACAATTTTTGTTTTGTGCACGAATTCTTTTGGGAGCTGTTGTTTTGCTTTTCAGCGGATAACATCACAGATACTAACAGAGCAGAAGAATCAGTGTATAAAGTAGACCATATCTGAGAAGCCATATTCAGTTGCAAAAATAAACTGTGTAATTTAGGTAGATTTTGTGTTAATTTGGTCGTATCCTAAGGCATAGAAATACGTACTGGATTATCATATAAAGAAGTAAGATAGTGAGTGTAAGGACACACAGAAATTCGTGGCCAGGAGTATTAGCTGTGTGGTGCTGAAATGGCCTAAAGTTCTACCTCTGTTTATTTCCTATATGCTGATTAAAAGTTGGTCCTCCAACACATGATCACCATTTAAAAGCTGACAGCATCAATATCATATTTCCTGTACTTTGCAGGCAGCATATTGCTTGATATTTGTCTATATATGTTTAGTACAATTTTAATTTTTGAATTATGTTACAGTTCATATGGAAAAGTATCCCAATAACATTTAAACATGTGTTGTGTGTACAATAAGTGTGAAATCAAGTCTTACTGTCTTTTGCAAATGCCCAAAAAAATCAAATTGCATCAGTAATATATTACTGTTTTTATTAAAGATTTTTAAAGAACAACTTTGCCAAAATATTTGTTCAAACCACTTTTTAGAACTCAAAACATCAGGAAACATGGTTTCAGTCTGCTCAGCTGATACAAGCTCCTCAATATTCTGGTTCTAGCTGTACTATCCTTTAGCAGGAGAGCAACTATTGTAAGCTTGTTTTGTAACGTAGCTCTCATGCTGGATTACAATTAACAAACTATAGTTTGCACACTCCATGCCTTTGATTTTCTGTCATTCAGTGTTTGCTTGCTTGCTTGCTTGCTTGCTTATTTGTTCAATTTCTGTCTTGCCTTCTGTCTTGCAGGACAGTTAAGGTGATAAATCCTACAATAACAGTGTTTATAAAAACTAAACACTATGACTATAAACAAAATTAAAATCTATTACCCCAAAATAAACTGTTTCAAAAAAAAACCCCCAAGAAATGTGATTAATATAAATAGAAAACATGCAGCAGAAGTTAGACTTGACAAATTTCCAAGAGCTTCCCCACCCATTCCCTCAACTTAAGTGGCTGTACACACCTTAAACCATGAATTAGAGATTTGTTTTTTTAAAAAAAAACACTTAGTTGTGAGAAATGATATAAAACTGCACCTACATTTCTATCAGCAACCGGACTTACGCTAAAAAATACCCCTTTTTCTTTGCATAACTTCTGCCATTGTTACTATACTTCAAATGTTTTTGTCTGCATGATTCCATGTTAACTTAGTTCCTAGTCTCTTTGAGATTTCATTTAACAGCAGAAGATATAGAAACATTTAAAATAAAGTAATAAACAATTATCTTTCTCTGTTGCTGAGTTCTTCAGATAATATCTAAGAAAACAGTTGTTAAAAATCTGTGTTTCCATCTCTGAAGACTCAGCAACAGGATGCAGAGAAATGTTGTAGTTACACTGGGTCAGGACAAGAATATAGTCTTCTGCTCAGCACATGTGTTTTTCAGGAAAGAAGTGCAATAAATTGAGTTGCTATGAAAGTCACTGCTTAAACTAAAACATTGATCTTTTAGAGCCACTTAAATATTGTGGAGAGGGAAAGAAATGACATTTATATACAATTAATCATAATCATGTTATGACATTTAATTCAAGGTGCTCTTCAATGCATGATATATGTTATTTTATAAAGATTAAAATCTCTGTTTTCTTTAGATAAGGCTTATTTTATCGGATATAAATATAATCACTAGATCTTTAATAAAAATGCTAACATCTAATAGACAATGGCTGAGTAGAGTTAAATGGGTAGTGTTTTTTAAAAAAGAGGTATTCTGGTTATTTGGTTACCTGTAAAACATTTATTTCAGTTTACATGTAATGCATTTCTTCTTGTATTTAAAATCTATTAAATGCTATTGTCTTGAATTAAGGACTAGGTTATTTTACCAGTGCATGTTAAGAGACCTTGTATTGAGTAACACTAAAGTAATCAACCTCCTTTACAAATGCCTCTTTCCTTCTTGAAGAGTAATATAAGATCTTTGTAATTTTGGATCCTTTCCTATAAGTTGCATGTCATCTGTGTATCACCAAATGCATGCTTTCAAAGTTACTGATTTTTTTTTCTCCCCCCCCCCCCGGAGATTGAATAATTTTAAGTGCTTTTTATTTTCTTTCTTTTAAAATTGAACATTAATATTCATTTTGTTTCCAGCTAAGTTTATAATATAATTAATTGCTAAATTCCAGTTGTTCTTTTATGCTTGATTAATAGAAAAGCATATTCATATAGCATTTTGTAAATGTGTACAATTTTATTTTACACTGTAATAATTTAAAATTTATTTTTTAAAACTGTTTCCCCCCTCCCCCCACTACTACTACTTGGGATGTAAGGTTTGTACCATATAAAATGCTAGTTTGCATGCATTCATTTAAATACTAAAAACTGTAGTACTGCTCGATCCATATCTGACTGCTAGGTTTCAATTGACAGCTGAGGATATGTGACTGGACCATGAATCAAAACGGCAGGCATTTATACCCCAGTGCCAATGAGGATACATTGGGAATTACTTGGCAAAGGTAAAATTTTAATTATTTCCACACCTAAACTATCTTGGGTTCTTCGTTATCTGTCTAAGTTGGCCTCCAGGATTAAATTTGTCAAATTTTAACTGTAAAATATCTAACATCTTTTGAATTACATGTTTAGGTCAAATGAACATTACGGTTAAGCACTTAGGATGCCAAATACTGATACAATGTCAAATATAAAACTATGTGAAGAAAGCAACATAGCCAAAATAGATAGGTACTTTGAAGTTTGTCAATTTATATTATGTTTATATTATTTGTGGTTTTAGGAATAAAATACATGACAAGAATGGGTGTCTGATATTAAGTAACACATAGAAATAATACCCAAAGGAAGTATTTGAGAAATCACATGGGCAGGTTTTATGAATTTAGGGAATGTTCTTGAGGTAAGCTAAAATTGTCTTATACTTAATTAGACTTAGCTAGTCTTCCTTTTCATAAAATTACTTTCATAATAAGTAAAGTGAAACTACTACTTTGAACTAGATATTGATAGAAAAAGTTTAACATGCTAGTTGATATGTGTAATTAAGTAACTCCGAATTTTTACAGAATTGCTTCTAATTCAATTTGATAATGTCATGAAAAGGTATTATTTTCTCTTTCTTTCCTTTTTCATTGAAATACCACTCCAGATAATTTCCCAAATACAAGAGTAAATCCTTGGAGAGTTTCAGAAGATGTATGTCTCCAAGATCCCCCAAATGGAATCTTAGGGACATTCACTCTCTTCAGTGCAGACATGCAACCAACATATATATATATATATATATATATATATATGCACACACATATACAAACCAATTTTCCTTCTCATTTTATACTAAAAGCTGCAAAGTAAAAGTATGAAGTCCTTCCTCCTTATTCCTTTATCCTCTGCTATAGTACTAGAAATTATCACTCATATTTAATGGCATTTCTTGAATGTAGGTCGTCCTCAACTTATGAGCACAATTAAGTCCAAAATGTCTGTTGCTAAGAAAGACAGTTGTTAAGTATGTTTTGCCCCATTTCTTGCCACAGTTGTTAAGTGAATTGCTACAGCTGTTAAGTTAGTAAGATGGTTGTTAAGTGAAACTGGCTTCCCCATTGAATTTCCTAGTCAGAAAGTTGCAAAAAGTGATCACGTAACTCCGGGCCATTGCAACCCTCATAAATACATACCTGTTGCCAAGGGTCCAAATTTTGATCACATGAATGGGGGGACGCTGCAATGGTTGTAAATGTGAAAAACAGTCATAAGTCACTTTTTTCAATGCTGTTGTTACTTCGAACAGTCACTAAACAAATACTTGTAAATCGAGGACTACTGTATCTGTATATAATTGGTTATTATTGCTTTTGTTGTTAGTTGCAAAGTTGTGTCCGGCCTAGTTATTTTAAATCTGTTTAGACTGGATTGTTTGGCTTACCTCAAATGTAAACAGTAAATAATCTCCATAGATTCATTTCAACCAATAATCTCCATAGATTCATTTCAACTATGCTCAGTTTTGTTCAGAAAACTTCTTTAACAAAACATATTTTATAGCTATTCTTTGAACTGCCTTAAATGTCCATTTGTTCTCTCCAAAAATTTAACATATTTCTAATTTATATTTTTTTGTTTGTTAATGTTTGGTAGAGATCATGTATGTTTTCATCATCACTGTCATAGTTAATCTTTAATCCCCCCAAAACACAGTTTTGAAAAAAAAATCTTGATTAAATATTCCATGTTTTGTAAATTGGTTCTTCAATTTATTGTAACTGACTTTGTATATACGTACCTTTATGAGAAAGAATGTAAACCAAATGTGTTAAAATGTGTTATGAATAGTACATGAACTATTAATAGGACTAGAATCATGTTGGGATTCAAATCCATCATAGTGCCAATCTAAATGGAAAAAAGGCAGGAGTCAAGAGAAGTGTGATCATTTTTCCAATTCAGAATTGCCCTATCTGGGTTAATTTAGTCTACAAGGAAGCTGGGGACTGGATTTGAAGGTGTCATGTCACTTTTGGTACAGATAGAAGATAAGGTTTGGGAATGCAAAACTTTGGAAAGGGCGTTCTTCCATTCTTAATGGTATTTTCAGAGATGCTGTACAATGGGGACAGGAGAAAACCCAAGCTAGTCTTCAAAAGAGATATTCAGAACCCCACGTTGAGTCCCTTGTCTTAGTGTAAATGAACAGAAGACCTTGATTCAAATTTTACTGGGTGATTTTGTCTAAGTAACCTTAGAGAAAAGAGGTTATTTTGGGCTAGGCCAGAGGCTGTAGACAAACTGATGGTAATTTACTTTTTATTCACAATATAACACTATTGTGTAAATAATTTTTTGAATAGTGCCCACACTATTTCCCAGGATCCTCCTTTTTTGTCCCTAGCATTGTTACCATAAACTTCCACTGAATATTAATTTTTTACTTATTAGCCCCTATTTTCCTTTTGTTTAAATAACTTTTATATATTTTTTATAATCAGCTCCTAATTAGCCTTTACAGGGAAAATACTCTAAACATACTAAGCATTGCCCAAATACATTCAGAAATAGATTTTATTTCATTTTAGCATGGTTTAATTGAGATATAATTAAGCAAGAAAGACCAATACAGTTTCTGGATATTAGTTCTAATATAAATTCAACCAGCATGCAGATATATAAAACTTTAGGAATATCTATATGCTCTAAGTCTGAGGTAATTTGAATTGGAACTTAGTTTAAGAAAATCATTGAATGTGTGTATGTGTGTGTATGTGTATGTACAGAGAGAGGTTTTGTTCAAGGGTTTCGATGGGAAGGTCAAAGTGGGGCAAATCATATTGCATCATGACATCATTGGTCAAATGATGTAAACTACATGCAATACTTCATTTGTGTCATTACATAATTTGTTTCATTTCTGTAATGTCATGATGTATGCTGTCATGGCTTCTATTTAGGAAGCTGCAGTTTCTCATGTTTGGTATTACATTGAACTATATTTAGAAATGTTTATACAATGCACAACATGCAGTATTAGCCCTTATTTCATGTGGTAGCTTTATCTGATCCTGAGAGTTCAAACAATTACTGCTGAATAAGGCCATAGTATTGAACTATTAGCGGTTGTGAACTTTCAAAGTTTTTGGCCAGATTTTTCAAAAATGTAAGATTAAGGCAATAATTATCAGATATCAGTAATTTGCGTTTTAAAAAGCGGATGCATTTAATTCTGTTTTATAAAGGATTACCTTGAGCACTAATTTAATTTTGCTGTTCCCAGATCCTAACTTCACATTTCCTGCTTTCAGTTTGCCATCTTGGCTGAGAAGTACAAAACAATAGTTAGCTTCTTCTTTGGGGTCAGAACACTGAATTTTTTTTCTACTCTATCCAAAGCAGGAGGGTGTCAAAATATATAACTTTTTGGAGCAGCTTTCCTTCCTCCCCTCCTGAGGAGCTGTTTGTTTTGTTGCTGTTAAGCAGGTAAAATGAGTTTACAGTATGGAAAAACTGGGAACTTTATTTTAATGTCAGAACAGCCTTGCAGATTAAAGTTTCTAACTTAAATGTAAACTTTAAAACAACCAAATCACTAGCAAGTAACCTCCTTCTTTTTGTTTTTTCAAGTGATATAAATTACCTATTATATCATAGGTTTGTGAGGACTAAAATGCAGACTCATTTTTTACAAATAAGAATCATGGGATGAAAATACTGACTGATAAAATCATTGGAGTACAGGAGGTAGCGGGGAAGGATTTCTGGCTTGTATCAGTTTGTCACTATCTCAGTTATAGTTTCACCCAGCTCTCTAATAAAGAAAGATGTGCAGAGAATTATGTTTCCTTTCCATTTAAGCAAACATCTTCTGAACACTTCCTAAGAAATTAATTGTATTCCAGCCAGACTTGCATGCTGCCATCCCACAGGAAATGGGTCAGCAATCCATTAAGATGCCATTAGATAATCTAATTTGGAACTTAATCTCTAAATTAACTATGCTCTATACTTGAAGCATACTTGAGAGGAAGAAAAAAAAAAGTTTGTTTGAATCGATAGGGAAGCCGAAGCGTGAAGAAGGCTGTTTGTTTTTTGTAGCTGTGGTCACGTCTCAAGCCGTCTGGTAACCAGGAGAAACCAGACATGATGTAATTCCAGATTGAACTTGAACTTCGAGGACTGAGAATAGGAAAACAATAGACCATAGGAATCAATAATGTCCATTTTCCACATGATTATGTTTGGCATTTTAAATTAAGATTTATGGAAAAAGCAGCAAAACTATAATATGACCAACATGGGGTGCAGTGGAGAATCCACAAAGGAAAAGAAAGAAAACAATTTCTTTAGCTGTATTTTGTGAAACGAAATTTCAATAGAGTAAACTAGTTGTTTGTTCTGAGCACCCTTTTGTTCTCTTAGGTAGGATAAACTTAATCTTATGTTTCCTGTCACATGATTTTGGCCCTGCTTTTAGGAAAGGAGGAGCATGTTTTAAAAGTGCTCTCAGCTGTGACGTGGACTATTAACCCCTTGTGGATCACAAAATGTCTACACTCAGTTTTAGTCTATGTAATGTCTTCAGCTATAAATAAGGGCAGCTTTTCAGAAGATCTTTTCTCTTAACATTTACCAAATAAAATAAATATATGGTAATGATTGGCTTCGTCAGTGCCTGCAAAGTTGTATCATGATCTGCTTAGCATCTTTTGTGAAGGAGTTTAGGAGAAGAAGAATAAATGCCTGTATGGTTTTACCTTTTAAGAAATAATTTCTGAAAGGATTGAGATGAAGCAAATTAAAATTTTGTTAGCAAAAGAGATTGATATAATATAAAAGTAAGCTTTTTGACTGATCTCTCTTGTACTGTATTTTAAAACAACGTGTCAGGGTACACAAGAGCCATTCCCCCCCCCCTTCCTACTATTTCAGTCACCAACGCCGCCAGAGGACATGGTGACAATATAGTGTTTCATTAAAAGAAATGTAGCATATGGAGGCCCTTTTAAAA